CTCGTACAATTTAGGTTAATTAAATTATCGAGGGTCGGGATAGTTCTATAGTAGTAAGTGTTGGATGATGAAAGTTCCACATCGGCTAATTTAGGGAATGATCATCCGTTTATAACTGAGGAATACTAACTTCATTGGTATGAGGCCTTTTGAGGAACCCTAAAGCAAAACCATGAGAGTTTATGCTCAAAGTGGACAATATCATACCATTGTGAAGAGTCGTGTTCGTCTAACATGGTATCAGAGCCATGCCCTAAACTTAGCCGTGCCAATAGATTGGCAAATCCTCGAATGTCGAACAAAGGGCCTTTTGGGGAACCCTAAGGACTCCAAAGGAGTCGAGCCTCGATTAAGGGGAGGTGTTGGATGATGAAAGTCCCACATCGGAGGCCTTTTGGGGAAACCCTAAAGCAAAGCCATGAGAGTTTATGCTCAAAGTGGACAATATCAAGAATTTTAGCTTCATATCTATAGTTTTATAAGGGGAGGTGTTGGATGATGAAAGTCCCACATTGGAGGCCTTCATATCTATAGTTTTATAAGGGGAGGTGTTGGATGATGAAAGTCCCACATCGGAGGCCTTTTGGGGAACCCTAAAGCAAAGCCTCAGAGTTTATGCTCAAAGTGGACAATATCAAGAATTTTAGCTTCATATCTATAGTTTTAAAATTTTTGATTTAATCTTTAATTACATGTTACACCTTAAATACCACTAATTATCTAATGAACAATTTATATATGATCTAACTATAAGTCAAATCTCTGTCAAGCCCTCGAGAGAGGACCCTATTCTTCAAGTTCTTACTCGCCTTACACAAAAATGAGTGAATTTCATTGTGTGATATTAGGTTCATCCCGTGATATTAAAATCTTTTTTTTTTTTATTTAAAAAAAAAATTAGTTCCCTTCTTGTTCGGTCTTGGCATTGGACTGCAATGAGCCCATTGACGAAGATTGATTGAATTCATCATGGGCTAAGAGGAATTGGACCTGATGAAGGCCTTTCTAGGAAAACACCCAAATACAAGAACATGGCCACACGTGGTTTGCATAGGCTCGGTATAACTTCAGTTAGCTCGATTGGCTCATTTCGAACATTTTAAATGGTCTCGAAACCGTTTCTAATGTAAGAAAGATCATGAAAGGTAACTACTGTTATGAACAATTAATAATATTTAACATTGTTTAGTACAGATTTATGATTGAATCATTGTATATCTTGTTGGTAAATATATGTTAGGTTGAATGATACTATTGGGTCACGACCTCAAGTATTTATAGATGTGTATAATGAGGTCATGACCCATATAGGTCATAGTGTCATTCAACCAACACATGGTATTAGAGTCATACCCAAAACTTAGTCATGACAATAGAATCCTCAAATATCGAACAAAGAATTGTGAGCCTCGAAGGGGTAGTAAAAAGTGACTAACATATCGAACAAAGGGTGTTACTTTGTTCTAGGGCTCCAGAGAAAATAGTCGAGTCTCGATTAAGGGGAGGCTATTCGAGAACTCCATAAGCCTCAGAGGAGGTTTATAATGTACTTTGTTCGAGGGAAGGATTGTTGAGGATTATTGAGAGTGAGTCCCACCTTGGTTAATTTAGTGAAAGATCATGAGTTTATAAATGCGGAATACTACCTCCATTGGTCTAAGATCTTTAGGGGAAGCTCAAAGTGGATATTATACCATTGTGGAGAGTCGTGATTTCTAACCGTGCAAAATATATTACTTGAAAATTTGTAATCGAGACATTTATAGTGATCGATAATAAGCTTAGATTTGACTTTTTTATTCATTATTGTATGATATTATTTATAGAAAGAAACAATAATGAAGATTGGGAGATTTGAGACAGCAACATTTCATAAGATAAAGACATAAACAATTGCATGTTCTGTGGTCAGAAGCAGCTCAAAAAACATAGGCAAATGTTGGAAAACCCACCTAAGATTTGAAAAGAACACAACATGATTTGTCAATTTAAGCTGTTTTGTACACTTTGCTATCAAATTTAATCCTGCCCACTTGATAATGTTTCTATTACATTGGCTCTTTTAAACCCTATAATCCAATAATATCGTTGTAATATATAACGCTATCTTTTTCCTAACATATAGGTTTGAGAATTTAAACTTCTAATCGATTAAACTAATCATAGCTTGAATTATATTATTTAGCATATAGAGAAACTTGTTCATGAACTACTTAGTACATGTGCTATACATCTAGTAGTGTCAACTCTCATTATCCGAGCATAGTTGTTAATGTGAGTATATGTAACAATCTAAGTCCACCGCTAGCAGATATTGTCCTCTTTCGGCTTTCCTTTTCGAGCTTCCCTTCAAAGTTTTTAGACGCATTTTAAAAACCAAGTCCGAAAGAGAAAACCCAAAAAAAACAATATCGGCTAGTAGTGGGTTAGACTATTATAATAGCTCACTAGTAATCGACCTATAATTTTTCGTTTGAGATTAGAGGTTCAAATTTTTCACATCTCACATTTATTGTACAAAAAAATTCTACCCAACTCATTTGATAGCGTACAAATATCATGTCAAAGGTCGGATGATATGATCCTCCACCAAATCAATTGTTAAATTCAACTATTGAAAGTTGAGTCGATCTAAATGTAGCACAATAGTTCAACTCGTCAAAGTATATACATTCGATCAAGAGGTGAGAGGTTCATAAATCTCTCCCGCTCCACTTCAACTCAAAAAATAAATTTAAGAGACCAAATCTAAACGATTTTTTTTAACTCATATATCTCAACTCAAACTAAGTTCGACAACCCTAAGTATAAAGTTCAAAGTGAAAAGGTAACGAGAATAAAATTAGAAAAAACTTTAAACCCTTAATTTATAGCTAATTTTTCGTGTGTATATATACATATATTATACATATTCACTTTAAATTATAATTTGTTCTAAGTTAAATACAAATTTACTCAAAAAAATAAAAAAGGAGGACTACCTTTATGTGAGATCCCATATCGGTTGGAGGGAGAAACGAAACATTTTTATAAGGGTGTGGAAATCTCTCACTAGCAGACATGTTTTAAAAATTTTGAGGGGAAACTCGGAAGGGAAAGCCGAAATAGGACAAAATCTGTTAGCGGTAGACTTAATTTGGACACTTGAAAGTACAGAAACTAAAGTGAAACGTCGAAAGTTATTTTAACCCAAAAATATGTTGGTAGAGTTAGATTTTGAGGCACGAAAAAAGTATAGGTTATAGAAAATAAGAGAAGAAGATAAGGGGGTGGTCCTATAAGTTCCAAGTTGTGGATAGGGCAGGTAGCTAAGGTTTGAGGTCCCACTCCCAAGTAAGGCCTTTAATTAATTTGTAGCAGCAGAACTAAACACACCCACTTCTGCTATGAATCTGAGAAGGTGTGTGAAGAGCAAGATGGAGAAGCAGGGCACGTGCTGTACTGACTCAACCCAAAATGCTCGTGTAAGAGTTGGTTCTTCATGTGCCCCTCTTCCCCATCTTGACCTCTGCACCTTAATGACTTGGCTTCTGCTTCTGCTTCTGCTTCTTTTTCAGGTCAGATACTTCATTTTCTTTTACTTTATCCCTGCCATTGGGTTTTGGGTTTCTTTCACATCTGTTCTTGCTTTTATCTAACTGACTCGGCTAGTAGATATTGTCTTCTTTTGACTTTTCTTTTGTTAGGGAGAGGTTTATACACTCTTATAAGAAATGTTTTGTTCATGTTTCGTTCCTCTCTCCAACCGACCGACGTGTGATCTCACATCTTATGACTTAGGTTAGGTGAGTTTGATATGAGTTCTATAATTTGTGTGAGTTTAAAATGATTTTCCCAAAGTTAGAGGGTTTTCGATTGTGTTTTGTACTAATTTAGGGTTTAGGGTGAGTTTAACTTGACATGCTTTTTAGATTGTTTACTTCAAGAAACAAGTGCAGGATTGGGGAAATATAATGGCAGGAGATCACTATAATGAATTTAAAAAGCACCCTACTTGAAAAATCATAGTTTATTTGTAAAAATTGTGTTTCATATTGGTATGAAGGTAAGCGATTATAGAAATAATAGACTTATGTCTTCTGGCTTCCGACGAAGCGAGTGACTCACAATATCAGGCTCTTGTTGCTCAGGTGCAGAGGGACAGAGAGGAGCCAAGTGTGAGACAAAATCAATCCGTGGCGTTGAAGACAAAACCCAAATAACTCGGACCTGTCTCTACATGCAATTCGCTCACTTCGGGAAGAGCAGTCGAAAAGAGGAGGCCTTTGTCTCGGAATCAAGAAACCGAATAGGGTAGACATATAGGCATTTGACGTAACTCACAAGACACGCCTTAATTATCATACAATGTAATTCTTTATTTATCCGCAAACTTTTAGACTTCGAAGAGAGTGAAAGCTCATCATAGTCAGTCAAGAAGAATAAAGCAATGAGTTCATTTATGACACAATACATGGCTGATATGTATATTTTTACGTGAACTTTGTAACAAGATTCATTTAAGGAGAGACAATCGAACATACTCACATTTCATTAATACTATAATAAACTTTATTTTTTATATTATTTTTTCCCTTAAAAGTTCATTGTTTTTCGAGGATGCACAAATCAATCTAAAAAAACAGAATAAAGAAATGAAAATAAAAGGCAAACGGGAAATATTTAAATAAATTATTTACTTGATAAAAAAAAAGTTAAAAATGTACCAAAATTTAGGGAAAATCAGAGTTGATAAAAATAATAATAACTAAAGGATCACTGATGAAAGTAAATAAGAAACAAGAACCAAAAACGAAAACGTTATAAAACGAGACCTTAACCGAATGAAATCCTACGCACAAAAGATTTTTTGAGAACGTTGAAATAAGACCCTAAGCTCGTTCACGAGTACAAGTACCTCGTTGATCACTATGCTTTGCAATGGCTAATGAATCCAATCTGTAGTAGAAACTCAGAAGGGAAAATGAAAAGATCAAGCATTATATATTCACAAAATCAACAAGAAAAAAACAGATCAAACTATGCAACATAATTACAAGTTACATAGTGGTTAATGAAGGGGAAAAGTGAAACCAATAATTCAACACTAATCGAATATGGTCGCAACGAACTCCAGCATTTCAGGAGATAATCGCGACGTCCATATGCAATGCTACGACAACGAAAACGATAAAAAGAGTCGACAGCCTTTTACAAATTGAACGACAAACACACCAGAAGAGAGGATGAACAATGGAAATATTTACACCCACCTAAACTATACAATAGATTTATTTGCCAAAGCCCCAATAAATAGATGGATTTTTCTTCCTCATCAGCTGTGAACCTGTACATCAGAAGCCAATAAATTTATAGCTTACACTGTCGATGATGGAGGTTTCCACGCGCTAAAAGCAAAGAATGGGGCAGCTCAACATGTCGTCGAATCGCACTCGATGGAACTGCATAAACAATGACAAGGACAATATGGAACTGCATAAACAACCCATAATAAAATCGATGCGCACATACCACTTCAGTGTCCAACCTGACACTCGGAAATCGATCTCATCATCTTTGAGAGGTGTCATCTGCATAAATAGATACACAAGCATCTGATGCTCCAGCAGCAAGCAGCTCCTCGTACGGGTGAAAGGTAAGACAGCTTACAGAACCAATCTTCTGGGGCATGAAGGTAGGATGGTATTTAATGGTGCCTAGTTGATCGCCATCTAGACTGAAAACCTTAATCAGCTGTTTCGCCGAGCCACTAGCCAAGATAGGAGCATGTCTATGAACGGCTAATGCTGTAAGTGAACCTCGGTGAGCATCGATGGTTAGATATTTGTCCCTCTGATTTCTGATATCCAGAAACTGAATATCACCGGCCTGAGAGGCACTGACGATCTGGAAGGCACATTGAAAGAAGCATTAAAATTTACACTTCAATAATACTGAAGCAACAGCCAAGAAATTTGTTCACCTTTGACGAATCGAGTCCAGGCTGAAAGCCAATCCCAACGACCTTCTCTACTTTTTGAATATGTGGGCGCATCGTGCAGACAAGCCTACGAATTAAGATAAGAGGGATAGTAAGTGATATCCACGCAAAATATTACACAAAAATTGGGTTCGATGTAACAATTTCACAACATTTACAAGTCTTATTGTGAAAATTTTTCTTATTACGACGTTTTCAGAAAATATTTAATTTAACATAAACAAAAACGATAAGAAAAATTAGGACTACAACATATTGAACAATGAACCATTTAATTCATTTTATACATCTACGTCTTTCTTATATTATCAATTCTCGTCTCCCAGTGAATGGTAGAAAACTATAAGTCCTCTGAGTTCCTTATTTGACCCCTCCTTAAACACAACACTGATTAGTTTCATGACAAACATTAAAAAAAAGCTTGCATTTCAGGGGTACGAGCAAGTCATGAAAAACTTAACCAATTGATGACTTTATTCATACAAATGCATCGAGAAGAGAAAATATGCTTACATTTCAGGAGTGCGAGCATCATAAAGCTTAACAGAACCATCTAAGAAACCAGCTGCAAACTGACCCCCATGAACTTGAGAAGCACACTGCAAAAGCATGAAAATAAGAGTTCTTTAAATATATGTGCATATATAACAAGCTTCATAAAACTAAGCATTTAAAACAGAACTAACAATGTCGAAAGCTAAAGCAAAATATAAGCTTAGCAAGTATAAATATTAAAGGCAAAGAGAGGAGAAGAAAAAAGATCACCAAACAAAGACTAACCATTCGACTATCAACTCTCAAAACAATTCCCAATTATTCACAAAGCAATGCATTAGAAGTATGATAATAAGCCATGTTTATAAGCAGTTCAAGATGACTCAAAATAGGCGTAACCTGCTATATCCAAAAGTAGTGTGAAAAGTGAAACTCACCAATGCTGAGATGCTGCAATCTGATGATGAAGGAATAGGCTTAACAAGCAGCTCCTTGTCAAGGTCCCAAAGCATAATAGACGCCGATGTCTCCCCAGCAGCATACTGCAAACCAGATAACAAAACACAAAGACCTTCGCTAATATACCAACAAGAAACAATAAATATATATATATTTCTATTCTCTGCGTTTTTTAGGAATAGCGGGTGATAGAATCTAAATTAAATACATACGAGATATCCAGATTGTTGTTGCCAATCCACAACAGCATTTACACTACGAACACCAGGTTTGTGCCCCTGGATTGCGGAGAATGCAGTTACAAGCTTCTGTTTTCCCTTCAGAGTGTAATCTTTCCAAATACGAATACTTCCATCGCCTGAGGAATATCAGAAAAGTTGAAGTAAGGCACACTAATGAAACTCAAAAATTATATGACTACGACCCTGAAAATTAATAAAAAAAAATTGCAGGAAAAAGAAAGCATTACATGAAGCAGCCAAAAGCAAACTATCATCAAGCTCATTCACAAGACAGAGTTTCGAAATCCCTTTGTCAAGAAAATTATGGTTGTCAAAACTGTTGAGTAGGGCAGGTTCTTCGTAATTCCAGACCCTGGAGACATGCCAAAAAGTTAGAGGGTAACAACCTGTAAAATGGTTAGGGAAAAGCCTTGAACAATAGATGAACCACACTTGTTTTGATGTGTGACCTAAAACTGACTTCCAATTTTTTAGTAGTCTCCAAAACGAAATAAGGACAATAGACAAATGGTAGAGCTAGAAACTAAATGTTTTTCCATACGTGACTTGGAATTGAGCAAATGTAAAGGTTATCTATTTCTATCTTGAGTCAGCAACACAATCTACTAGAAATTTTCTGCAGCAAGAAGTAAATAAATGAAAGCAACCCATACCTAATTCGTTCTTTCTCATCGGCAGCAACAACGATGGGTGAGAATGGTTGCAGCAATAATTTTTTTGTGCCCATTTCGAACTTTGTATCCCAGCTAGCAATTGGATTGTTGCTCAGCTTACTAACAGCTGATGAATATTTTATTTTAAAAAAAGAAAGAAGAGAAGACAAAAGAAAGATCCTCTATTAAATTCAGCGACGAGAAAACTGAATATAGTGAATAAAATTAAAATTGAACAAGTGGCCTACGAGAATGTTGGCATTTTGCTATACGTTCCAGTGCAAATTTCTCCCTCTCCTCTCTTCTAGTAAATATTTCTTCACCATCTTCAGCAGCAGTGAGAAGAGGCTTTGAGAAATGGCCACAACTCCAGTTATAAATGGTTGATTGTGGAAGAAAACTGCGCTCAGATGTTCCTGAAGTTCCACCTGAGCCCCATAGTGGATCAGCTAACCCCGAGTCAGGAGAATTCATTAGCTGAGGACGGAACTCTAATGAGCAAACTCTTCGCATGCCCGTCAAGTAACTTGGTCTGGGAGGGCTGACTGGAGGAGTACGGAAAGTTAAAGGCAAATGACCTGAACATAGAACCACATTTTCAAAATCAGGAAGAAAATGGGGACGAAGTCACAATTATAAGCACCAGCAACACAGAAGAAATAATCAGCATTCAAGTTAATCGAAGCACTAATAATGACTCAAGTTTTTTAAAATTGATATGCAATGGTATATAATGCAGAGTCAACCAAAGTAACCATACCTCCATTCATATCAAACCATGAAGATGAACGAGCTAATCCAGCAAAACTAGGAGGCTGAGATGCTGCTGTCCCATCAGTAGGCTTAAGACCGCTGTTATTGGATTTTACAGGTTTTGTAACAACTTGTTCAATACCAATAATTGACAAAACCCGCCTACCAAGGCTTGCAATACGAGGAGATGGGTCATTGGCTAAAGTACACATAGTCGAAACACATTGTGAATACAATGCATTATTTAGAGGTTTGGGCAATGAATGATTAACGGCACCATTGCTCACTGTATCTTCATGCAAAACTCCAGAATCCGAAGGCTGATATGAATCATCTGAAAGTGGAGATCCATGCATCACTCCAGTATTAGCAAGAGGACTACTGGTGGAGACCCTTCCATCTCTAACTAAAGGTGAGTTTTCATTTCCAAATCTCAACAATGGGCCAATTTGAGAGGAAACAATGCTTGCATGAGGCATGTGTTGATTCGAATTAGTATAAGCAGCTCCCGTACTTCTTAGGTGAGCCAAGGAGGGTAGAGAACTTAATAAAGAATTACAGTGGGGCTTGCAATATGTCGCAGCAATTGACTTGAGGTGCTTGTTGTGGACAAAGGCAAAGCGAGCAAGGGCTGTAAAAGCACAAACATTTTGAAATCATTACGAGTCAAAACACAGCACATATCCAGCGCACCCAACTAAAAACCCAAACTGATTTTTCAAGAGACAGAAAACCTATTAGTGAAAGAATAAAACTAATGATACACAGCCTTGATTTTGGAGGTTGCAGTGTGTGCTCTCTAAAACAGTATACATCGTCAATAAAAGTTCAGACCAGAAACCCCTAGGTTACAGCATACAAGATCTCAACAATAAGCCCACTGAATGCATACTGGGAAGTCGTAGACATCGACAAAGTCAGATTGTATTACAATCTATGATAGGATAATAAACTCCTAATCGTATCCGACATTCAACAACTGCGAACCTCAAAAGGCACAAAAACTATGATGTACAGTGGCTGATTCTTACTATTTCCAGACGTCACCACACAGTTCAACCCAATCTACTTTATGTCAAATAAGAAAAAATTATTCAAGATCTATTCACAAAAAAGAGGGGAAGAAAGCTGGCCAAATGCCAAGAACATTACAAAGGGCCTTCAAATTTTTCAACCAAATTTTCATTTGAACAGATCTAGCAACAGAATTCGAATTAACCACCCAGAGGCAGCAAAAATATAAGCAGAAAATGGGGGAACGAGCTCATACCAACAGCAACCTCAGCCCTAACAAGTGGACTTCCATCTGAAACAACACTTAATAGACTTCCAACAATACTGGTTTCAGCCCTAATCTTTTCATCATCATCACAATCATCGTCACCAACGCCATCTCTAGATGAATCGCTCCATACATCAAGTAGGGTACCAAGTGCAAAAATTGCTGAAGCCCTAACCTGAAATTGAAAGCTACATTTGAGATATACACTTTAGGCCTAAGGACACTAAAATATCCAAAAAGTATAGAGGACAGAAAATAAATTATGAACCTCTGGTTGGGGCTCAGCCAACAAAGAAGTGAAGACAGCATGGGCATCAGCCTGCAATCCTATTATTTGCGCATCTATATAGTCTTCCCACAGTTTCCCCAGACAAAGACATAGCCATTGAAGAAATAGGGGCTCAGTTTGTCCATCAATCGGTGTTTTATTCCGAAGATGCTTCAAACAAACATGGATTAAATTTGCTTCAATGCATGCTTCCTGGCCTCGCCTGTGTTCATCAACAATTACAGCTAAAACAAATGCAGCCATTGCACGCTGTTTTGGGTAAGCTTCCAAAGTATCAAGAAAGCGGATGAAGTATGTATGGCCACCATCTTTTACTAAATCAACCTGGCAAGACTGCCATTCCAGAAGAGTCATAGTTACCATACAGAATAATTTGCCCACAACAAAGGTGGAAGAAAATGAATGGCATAGAGAGAGATTCAAAAGGAAAAAACAGCATGAAAGAATTTTCGACAAGCTAAAAGTCGCCCAATAGACCAACTTCTCAATATGAACCAAGAAGAAGGATTCCATATTCTTTAGAGAAAATCTAGGGTAAGAGTATTATGAAACTAAAAATTGACAATTCAAACACAAATACTTTTATTAAAAATTATCATATTTGTCCTCTAAAAAGAGTTTATTTTCAAACAAGCCATGTGGCATACCGTTGTTCAAATATACCCTCGTCATTTGTTGATTTCAGAAACCAAAATGGCTATTCCATAAATAACTTTGGACATGAATGTTTTGAAATTCCTACAACTCCTCCTTTAATTCATATTTCTAACTGTTCGGCTGTTTGTCTACAACTATGATTATGTTGGATAAGACGGAAATTCTGGAAAGTATTTGACTTTACACATTTTATATGAGTAGCTTTGAATTTTTTTCTAAGAATGCAGTTGATGGTTTGTCTAGAAAGAAAACCCTACTCAAACGGGTATACAAAATAAAATGTTGATCATGAATCTTCAAAGACAATTTTCAAAAAGCCACTCTATACATCTACACAAACCATGACACATTAGGGCTGTATAATTACGGTAAGAACCAAAAAAGAACTAAATAGATTGAAGATTTAGATATTAGTTATTTTATTCCAAAACATAATACTACGATTTTTTAATGAGAAACATAAACATTAGATATGAGAATCAATAAAATGAAAGAAAATAAAGTAAAAAGACCATAGACATGAAACTAAAATTTCCACACCATTTAAAGGAAATGGCGAAAAACACAGATACGTACAAGACAATCACTATGACACACATACGTAAGGGATAGGACAAATAACATGTATCCTTACATTTGCAAAACTATTTAAGTGAACAAAATCCATATCACTAAAGAAAGATTATTTACAAAATCGCGGAGATGATAAAATTGAGGTACCCTCCCAAGAACAAACGAACAAAATTGCAAAAACATTTGCTGGTTGGCACCACAAAAAGTGGGTAATTACAGATTTCCTTAACTAAGCACCTCCAAGACGAAGCAGTATCAAAAAAAGTACTTCTTAAAAAAAAGGGATCTTAGTTGTCCCATAAAATCCCCGCCATTTCTTTCAAGTCACAATTGCAAAAGAATAACCTAAATATGTTTATACCTTATCTAGGGCAAGAATCTTTGTCCATATAAAAACCAGTATTTGTCGCAGCTCCGGTGTTGTTGTCTGCAGAAGCTTCAGAACATATGGGAATATTCCAACAGACAATGCCTAACATGAAATTTATTAGCAACTAGCAATAGTTGTCCCCGAGAGGGAAGTATAAAAAGGAGAAGAAACAAACACAGTAAAAATTGGCAAAATCTTGAGTGAGACTACCAGATCTACAGCCCAAGGTCCCATATCAAGGAATTTACCAAGAAGAACCAGCGCTCTGAGTCGATGTCCTTGGCTGAGTAAAACCTATGACAAAGGTCACTCTGCTGTGATTATACAGAAAAAATTAAAAAGAAAGAAAAATTGTTCACTCTATGGAAAACGAGGTTACTCTATGGAGACGGATGAAATCAATAGCTGTAGCATACATTGAGAACAAATCAAATCAAGGATGACAAAGAAAACGGTCTTTTCTACAAGCATCTCGCCACATATTATTGATGGCAGCTTCACCATCCGAGTGCAAAATGACCATAATGATGCATATTATTAATACACAAACAGAGTTAGCATAAGAAGGAACATAACAGATTTTGATACGGGCAAGTCTAGACTTAAGGATTAGCAAAAGATAAATTGTCTTGTTCTTTATTATTGGAGTCCCTTTTTTTTTCTTTTGCATGCTCTTGTTTTCTTCCATTTTTTTAGTAGAAGTTTGGTTTGGCAGTCCTTCCAGCAAAAATTAAGGATCAATAACTTAAAGAGAGTTTGGCAATAGTCTTGTGCTAAAATCAAGCATCCAACAAGAAAAGTAGAAAGTCCCAGAGCCCAGTAAAAAAATAAGCATGGAAAAGTATGGTAAAACAACATTTTCATACACATTGCGAACAAGATTAAATATGATGAGTGGGAATGTTAAAGACACTGCTCAAATATAAGCTCCAAGACAGTATCCGTTCACATTGACAGGTTGCATAGCTCTTCATCAAACCAGTTCCAATTCCAACAAAGAAGTTGAGCAGGAAAGATTTAGTCACAATGATGGAATAGAGAACCTGATTTTTTTTTTTTTATGAATAACTGAACTTCATTAGAGAATAGGGTAGCGTACAACAGCCCTCTAGACACAATGCTAACATTTTGAAGTAATGGCAGCTAAAAGTAACTAAAAGAAGGCATATGCCCACAATTCAAAAAAATAACAAAATTCAACAAGAAGAATCCAGAAAAGACAAGTACCAAAAAAGAAAATAAATAAATAAAGAAGATGATGGCTTTTGGTACCTGAAGGACAATAGGCAACTGTTCTGGGGGTTTCTTACTTTCGGATCCATGATCAAGCCATACCTCAAAAGCTTTCAACTGTTCCGTGAAAAATGGACTTGGCTGGAACATTACAAAGAAGAAATTTTAATTAATGATTTAAAGGATGACTTTTTAGTCATAGAATTTGGTAATGGTGAAACAGATATGTGTGAGGATAATTTTAAACAACCTTTAGATGCGGGAAACGGGGGACCTATTTTGGGTCCATTTCACTACCACTTGAAAAAATTAACATAGTTAATCGGATTTTTTCTGAACTTGATTTAGAAGTAGTGGAGGGTAGGTTCGGTCTACAAGGCTGTAGCTTTTAAATTGATGGGCTCAAACTTAACATAGTTAATCGGTCCATTTCACTATCACTTGAAAAAATTAACATAGTGGAGGGTAGGTTTGGTCTACATAGTTAATCGGAAGAAGCTTAGCAGAAGAACTTATCAAATAAACTTGAAAGCAAAAGTGACCTAGAAAGGATTAAGTTTTCATTCAGACAGCTTGTCTTTGTCACCTAAATACAACAAAAAAATGGATGCCTCGAGTAGGCCTTGAATCCTTCTCGTGGCCCTCATCGATCGCAAGAAATGGGCTATACTTTCTTCCTTTGTTCATTCAGGAACAATTTTCTTTTTTGATAAGAGACAATTTTCCTAATGACTGAAATTTACAAAAATGATGTAATATTTATGATGATTATAAAATATCTTCCCAATTTACAAGGAGGGAAGTAAAAATATTAGAAAGCTTACACCAAGATATAGCTTGATAAACAACATCGTCAAAGAGTTTTGTATAAGTTTGTGTCTTTTAAATGAATATTCCTTGATTTCTTTCTTTCCACAGATTCCAAAAGAAAGTAATGATGAGGTTTTTCCGTATTAGGGTTTTTGCATTCTTGAATGGGGTACATTAAGGCCATGTTCAATAGACCTTTAACCTCCATAGGAAATGTGAGATGTCATTCGAATATATTGAGAATTATTGTCAAGTTGAGAATCATTGTCAAGAAGTTCTGAGCGTATATGCATGCATAAATAAGTGACTTTGTGATTTGTTTCTGTTCTTGCACAATGGACACCAATTTGGAGAAAGAATAATGTAAGGCAATCTTCTTTTGAAGATTTTTTCTTGTGCTAATGACTTTATGCGCTATTTTCCGAAGGAAGAACTTCACCTTTTCAGAGTGATATCCATTTAGGAACAAAATTTGAAGCACACTTCCGCAAGCTACAAATTTTTTAGCTTTTGTGGGTTAGTTTTGGGATGGAAATTTACTTCAATTGTTATGTAGCAACCCTTTTAAGATAATATCAAAGGAGCATGAATGAATGCTATCAAATCAGAACTTCAGATCATTTGATAAGAAAGAAATAACAAACTATGCTCCCCGTAAACAGAAAAAAGATGAAAAGTATTGGAATCATCAAATGTTCATGTTCCCTTTTAAATTTGCACAGGTGACAAATATTGCCAGCTAATTTAGCATCTACATGCACTCCCTTCATAATTAACTAAAATTGGGGTCTATTTTTGTAAGTTCCATTGGAGAGTTTGACCTTATACGTAATACAAGGAATTTTTACCTTCCTTTGAAACCTATGTCGAAGGATATTTGTATAATCCCATTAAATAAGAAAAATAGTTGACCTCTCTAAATTATATGGTTGGATTTAGATTAACTTAGATTATTGTTACCTAGCATTTAGAGATTTATTTAGATTATTGCTACACATTATCTAGCGTATTTAGAATAGTAATATGATATCAAAGTCTTTCAATTCTAGAAAATCATTAGAACCAAAAACTCTAACTCAATTGGTGAAGCCTTCATTGTTGATGATCATCTATAGTTTCACCAAAGGACTTTCAGGATTTTCTGCAGACTTTCCGCAGATTCTCTCTTATGTAGATTTTCGATAAACAACTCTTCCACAATCTTTCTATCAGCCCACTGTTTCTACCGCAAACCCATTGTTTCATAGCCATTGCCTCCAGATTTCTGCAAACCCACATCCACATCAAACTTTCTATAACCGCCTAAGCACACTGCTAGCAGATATTGTCTTTATGGGCTTTCCATTCTGGGCTTCCCTCAAGGTTTTAAAATGCATCTACTAGGGAGAGGTTTCCACAACCTTATAAGGAAGGCTTCGTTCTCCTCTCCAACCAATGTGGGATCTCACACCACTCCTTTGGGGGCCCAACGTCCTCCCTGACGTTCAGTGTCTGACTCTGATACCATTTGTAATAACCCAGCTACACCGCTAGCGAATACTGCCCTCTTTGGCTTTCTCTTCTAGGCTTCCCCTCAAGGTTTTAAAACACATCTACTAGGGAGAGGTTTCCACACCCTTATGAGGAATGTTTCATTCTCCTTTCCCACCAATGTGGGATCTCACACTTTCCGCAAACATTCCACATTTCATTTCATAGTTACTGTTTCCAAATTTGTTTAGCCCATACAAAGCCTACGTTTCCATATTTCTACTCTTCCGTTTCAAACTTTCCACAAGCCCATATTAAACTTAAACGGGTATTTCATGACTTCAACAAGCCCATGGTCACATCACGCACCATAACCATCACTATTCCACAAACCCACCACTTCAGGATTCTTCTCGTCATGACTTTGCTTCATACTAATTGCTCTCTAGATTAAGATCCACTAGTTCATCATGTCAGAAGTACTGAAAATCTCAAAGGAAGTTCTTACCGGCCAAAAGAAGGGTAACCTTCAACCCACCCGATTATCATATCGACTAACAGAAAAAACTTCCTCAAATGGTCTGAAATCGTGTAGACATGCCTTAAGGAAAAGGGAAACTCCAACACCTCGGACCAAGACAAGCAAAGACAGATCCCAGATTTACTGCATGGGGCGAGGAAGACTCCATGATAAGCTCACGTGATTCTATGGAATCGTCCATTAGTGATACATGAATGTTTTTACAAAATGCACAAGTCATAATGGATTCCATTCATCGCACTTACTCCAAAGCTAGAGATGTTGCTCAGGTGTATGAAAGTAAGAACAAGACTTTGAGCCATGAAGCAAGAAGAAAAAAATTGTCCCTGTATATGTCAATGCCTTGTAAACATTTTGGCAGGAACTCGATTATTATCGTGTATTCGAGATGAATTACACTGCAGATGCCCTAATCCTGAAGAAATTTATTGAAGCAGATCGTGTTTATGACTTTTAGGTAAGTCTGCCCAACGAGTTTGACCAAGCCCGTGTACAAATCATCAGAAAAGAGGAATCACCATCCCTAGAAGAAACAATTTCTCTTATTTGAGCAAAAGATAACAAACGGAGCCTTATGCTTGATAAACAATTCAATTTAAATGCATAAGTTTTTGCTATATAGAAAGATGGAAACAATGGAAGAGATAACCACAACGGAGGAGACAACCAATGAAGAGTAAGAAAGACAATTCATGGTGTACCTACTAAAAGAAACCACGACACACGAAAGAGAGTTGTTGGAAGTTGAATGGAAAACCTCCAAACCATGAATGGGATGATAATCGAGGAGGCTCACAAAAGCATGGTTTGGGAAACAAGGAAGACAACACAAAAGAACCCAAATTAGAACAAAAGTTACCAATTTTGGAGACTAGTAGATTCAATAACGAAGAGATTGAGAGATTGAGGATATAATTGAACTCTCTCAACAAACCATCTGAGTTCCAGTGTCTTGACAATCTCAAAAGAACCAAATCTTGAGACAGACGATTGGACTTGCTAAGGAATTATGATCTATACTACTTGTAATTACTAGCAATTGAATGATCTATACAACATGTAGTTACTTGAGAAAACAACCAACCCACACATAGGTCATTTATTCAGAGCCTTCATAGCTACTGTTGACAAATTTATTCGGAGCCTCCATAGCTACCATTGAAGTCACGCCGTCGAAGTCATGCAAGCATATAAACCTATCCAGTCCAAGCTTAGAATGAATCATATCAATTACTCAGCTTAAGGAGGGAAATAGTTGTGTAATCCCATTAAACGAGGGAAATAGTTGGCCTCTCTAATTTATCTTGTTAGATTTATTTAGATTATTGTTACCTAATATCTGGGGTATTTAGATTATTTAAATTTTCTAGGGATTAAGATTTAGTTAGTCTTTCTCCCTAATAAATGGGATACGTTATTATGTGAATATTAATAAGAAAAACAGCCAGCTAATTTAGAATTGCAACTTTCACTAACCAATAAAAGTTGATTTCTTGTTAATACAACAAAATCATTTTTACGTTCCAAGATCCAACAGGCCAAATAAGAAAAACATCTGTTACGGACTGACCTGAAACTCCAAATTAGGATCTTCTACCAATGCTGGAAGTTGAGAAAGACAAATCTCAGCAGCCATGTCCCATGCATCCCTGAAAGAAGCAGAACGTCCACAAATGGATCAGTGAACCAATAAACATTAACAGACCTAACTATCAAGGATTTCTGAAACTCTACCACATATGATGCTGATGGGTTGAAGGCAATATTGGATGTGAAATAGGCGAACAATTTGCAGATCGCATAATCCTCTCAGCAAGCAAAAAATTTCTGAACAGACTGGCAACTAACAAATCTTGTCTGAACAACCTTTGAAATAGATCTGCACCAAATTAATACATTAGCTTCGACAAGAAAGAAAAAGAAGGATACCATTGGTTGAGTGAATCTGAAAAATACCATGAGGCAGAACATTCCACGCAATTGTATCAGTGACAGCTGTGAAAATCCAATTCAATTCCCCAAGAAGTGTCTTCCGATCTGTTTGCCGACCAGGTATTTTATCAATCAGTAAATCATCAAGGGACTCACGGAGCAGTGAACGTTTGCAGAACCTGAGAAAATATTCCATAATAAGTAAACATCCAGAAAACGATTAAAAGCCCAATACCTTATAAACAAAAAGGGTCTCCACCATAAAAGAGTGAAACCTAATTACAAAAATCCTTAGTCACAAAAGCCCAAACAGAGGCACCAAAACCTAATAAAGACCAACCACCCTCACCAAAAATTCTATGATTCCTCTCAAGCCAAATCTCCCATACAAAAGCAAAGAAAATAAGCCTGCCAAAGAATTTTTTTTGCCTTCACCCTGAAGAGAGGATTCAGCAAAATCTCCTCAAATTCCTCACCCCCCCCCCCCCCCCCCCCCCAAAAAAAAATCCCTACTCACTCCACGCCACCAAGACACCAAAAACATCCAAGAATCTGCCCCAAATCGACTAAGCAAGGTTTCATTTTGGGGTCTCATATTATCGGCACCCAAATCCCCAAACTCCAACAAACACAAAGCAATCTCCCAACTAACCAGATGCAAAGCTCCTGCCAATCGGCCTCCTCCCACATGAAATCCCTCGTATTCTTCTGATTCTTCAAATCCTTCAGTTATTATATCTGAATTGACATCAACCAGTTTGAATTTCTTTATGAAATGTATATTTTATATTTGGCTATTTTCCATGTGTCATAAACAAAGTAATGATACCAGCTACGAAAGATCTCTTTTTTCTATGACTTCCACTTATTAAATCCACCTCAGAAAAGTGACCAACCAGGACCCTATTGATGAATGAAAGAAAGGGTTTCAGAAAAGTGACCAACCAGGACCCTATTGATGAATGAAAGAAAGGGTTTATGAGCCCTAGTCCTGTAAGCCCACACCTGTACGAGGAATTATTCCATTTTAATACCATCCCTCATATCCTCTGACAATCCACCACCATCAGAATAAAGGTCCTGCGGCACTATGCCACGAACAATTAGAATCATATCATCATGGGTTTTTTTTACTCAACCAGGAATCTTGGCCGACCCAGAGCAAGGGCCTAATTCACATACGTAAAAGGATGGGTTGGGTAGGTCTTTCACTCTTGTTTTTTACGACGTCTATAACTCAAAGTCATACAGTTAAGAAGAATTGGTAGGCATAACTAATGCAGATAAACTTGGACACTAAAATTATGAACATTATGTAGAGGCGTATTAATCATAAATAGTAGAGAATAAGTTCACCATCTCAAAGCCATCTTAATCGGTGTTGTAAGGCAAGAGGTAAAAACATCTGCTGGAAATTCAGCTCTTTGTGGGAGAGTTTCGTGTGACTCACAAGCTGCAAGCAGAATGCAATCCCTTGATCCAGAGGGATCGTGAAGCTATAAAAAAAATACATATTAAAGTAATTAAGAATGGAACATGAACATGAATCTTGTCAAAAAAGGGGGAAAAAGTAGTGCTCCTGATGATGATAAATTAGAACAGATCAATAAATAAGACTGAAAACATAGTTGATAGTAAGTACCTCAGTGAAGGCATTGACTATCATCCCAGCCGCAGAACAGTCGAACACATAAATTGAAGGTGTCTTCAACCATGAGTCCAGGTCACTAATAGGTAAGGGTATATACTGGGTATAACTCTGCACCACGAAAAACTATGAGAATAAGACAATAACAGGGATTGACATAAAAACTAGAATATATGAAGATATAGACCTTGTTGAAAAGCCAAATTTCACCACTAGCAGTTGGCTTTGGAACACCATGTCCATTATAGTGAAAGAGAACCCTTTCAGTCTTCGCATACTTGCGACATGTACTACAAAGCTTTTTTACCTCTTCCACGGTGGGATCCAGCTGAACTTTATAGCGAGCCTGCATACGTACTCATCAAGTTAGAAAATAGAATAGCAATACAAGAAATCATACAAAGTGCTGGGCTTAATCGTCTCCACCCTGGGTTGCCACCTCTCATACTGCACACTCAATGTTTTTCCAATAGTTTCAAGTGCTTTAGGGGGTGCCATAGAAAATGGATCTGCAACAAGAAAAAAAAAATTAACAGACATATAAAATAATTTTAAACTGGAACAAGACAGAAATAGGAATCCGGACTCCTATCACAATCTTATCTCTACTTTCTAAGAAATCAAATGCATTGATATGGAAATAACACATAAACAACATCTACAGAAAGTGCAAGGCAGACCTAAGACCAGTAGTAAAAATGAAAAATACCAGAGCTGAGCTGAAATTAGGGGGAACAATTTCACATGGAAACATGATGCCTAACCTAATGTGACAATATGCACAATGTTCATTCACCAGGGTCCACCCACAGAAGGTCCAATTCAGAAACAACGTTAGTTTTAAACTCCAAAGCACTAATTTCTGTCTCCATCAAGCTGTAGAAATGGATAGTGCAGATTTCAAAACAGTAAGACAGCCATCATCATCTACTATTTGAGTGAAAATAAATTTAAGAGAATTCCAACCAAATAAAAAGTATGAAATAGCCAAAAGAAAATTTATTTACAGTACTAACAGTGCAGACAGGTATTATGCAGAATTACATGATGAATAAAGCTGTGTACAAGATAAATATATGAATATGCATATATGTTTGTATATGTCTTATACATATATATCAAATAGTCAAGAAATACAAATTTACATTTGATGCCAATAACTATCCTCAATAAATGATAATTCTGCATTGCTTCATCATCTTTTACACTTCATGTATACTAGATAAACCTCATAAACATTCCAGAGAAATGAACGAGCAGTGAAAGAAATTCATAAACATCTTTTTACATCCTTGAAAGCCTAGAAAAAAATTTAACCAGAATGGACTTTTTGACAATATAGCTGATCACAACAATTGGAGTGATTTACAGTAACAGATTTATTAAACAAAAAAATATTATCAAGGAATAAAAGACCAGAATCACAGGAAACTCAAATAGAAGCATTTATTAAAGAAGAAGAGCAGTAATGATGTCAATATGCACCTATCCAGCACTCCATTCTGGCACAAGGAGAAATCTTAATTACATCGGGGGGATCAACGCTGATGTTTAAACATAATACCAGAGCTACACATCCTGTCTTCATCTGCATTAAATAATGTATCAATTAAACATATGCTGCAAAGACTCGAGCAATACTTCCAATTTCCTACTGAGATAAAAGCTCCAACCTGCCACTTATTGAAAATCGTTTCATACTTAAATGCTGGAACAGAAAGACCCGATAAAGAGTAGACTATAAATCTAAATTAAATTTTCCAGTATTGGAGTGAAGAATAAAAGCCACCTCAAAGACATTGCCGCATAAATAAAGATGCAGATGCAAGGAAAAAAAAATATATTATTTTTTTATAAGAAATGGAGATAGGTATTCCACAAAAGATGAGAACATATAACTTAGAGGCACAGGGTAATGGAATATTACAAAAGAGCCTAACAGTTATAATCACATACATCAAAAAAGAGACATAGGTTTCTACTTGTGGATCATAAATTTAGATAAAAAACTATACTGCCTAGGCATTACATCCAAAAAGATCCCTGTACATATCTATACCATACAAATAAACATTTAGTACATATCTTTTCTATCTCAAAAAAAAAAAAAGTAAAACAGAGTATCCATCTCGTTTTCTTTGTATACTTCATTCATTGTAGAATCAGCAAAACAAAGATAAATACTGCCTCTTTGACAATTAAGTAATTTGTTGTCTTCCAAATTAATTTGATTAAGTTTTTACATTTAGAACTTCCAAATTTTGGTTTCATCCTATTAATAGACAATTAAATCTTGAACATCGCAGACAATGTTGTTAATCTTCAAGTTTTTTTTACCAAGGTTAAAAATAAAAGGCCACTGAAGCAGAGACATGTCATGTGCATAAGCTCGAATTAAGTTTTAAACAAAACTTCAGTCCAAATGTTCCAAAAAAGTGTGGCTAAGTGGATGAGTGTGGAGTGTCGTGGTGGTGGTGGTGGCAGTGGACTGTTCACTGTGACCTCCAAGAGCATGACTCAAAGCTGGAATAATAAGGTATAGACGACTCATTCGACATTCAAGCGCCTACAAACATCATGATTGCTCTGGAATCTCTATACAATCAAAACTAAATTGGAATTCAAATTAATACATGATCAAATGAAATAAGCACCCTAGAAGATCACCACATTCAAAAAACAAGTTATACTTCAGTGAGGATAGGTGACGTATTAGCAATGGCATTCATCATTTCATGTCAGTTATACGAGACATATCCATATGCATTTACAGAACAACAAATAATTAAGATACTTATTAACAGGACCCCATTCTAAACTTCCTGTCTACTATGCACAAATCGATCATTTCATACAATTTCCCGTGTGTTATCAGCTAATATTCCGAATAAACTAAGATAAATCCCTTTTTTTCCCGACAAGAAATTTAGATAGCTCTACATACTGCAACAATGGTGTCTTCGAAAGGTAGCATTACTGAACAATGGATCGCAAACTCTAGAGCATGATAAGCTAGAGAAATCCCCATGAATAAAATTGAAATAATCGAGCGTGTATCCAGTCATTATAGACAAAAACAGTAAAGAAATGGAAACAACAACAAAAAAAATTCAGACAGAAACAAGCGGCTTACTCGGTCTTTCGGTCTCCATTTCGAAACCAATCCGCAATCAGATGGGCCGGCAGGCACGCAAGCCTCAAACGCATCGTGTCGAAGCTCACATAGCACCATAGTCTGCGGCAAGTAAACCATGGTTGTGGCAGTAGTGACAACAGCATTGCCATAACTACTACTCGCAGCCTCAGAATCCCTTCTGAAGGAAATCAAATCCCCATCGTCCTCGTGGTTGGAAGCACAGACATCCAAGTGATTCGAGACTACCTCCAGCGAAGATTGAGAAATCCGAGAGGCCATCAAATCCCCCAATGCCATCCAAATCCAAAACCCTCCAAACACAAAAACCAATCACCCTTGCCCTAATCTTACAACCATACCCCTTCTTAACCGGATAACGAAAAGCACAAAAGTGTCCTGAAAACGCGGTTTCTTGATCGGTTACAAATCAAGTTGTAAAGAGAAAGAGAGAGAAGTGCGTTGTGTAAAACTCGGCGCCGGAGAATAGAATAGCGAATTGGAAACTAATCAACGAAACCGCTTGACCGGCGGCGAAATGAGAGAGGATCCACCTCGTAAAACCCAACGAAACTCAGAGATGAATCTTCTCTGTAAATCACCTGGATAACCCTAGGTGGTGAAGAAGAGAAGAAGAAGATGGAGGCGCACAGAACAATGGCGGCACCAACGGAAATAAAAATAAATAAAATAAAAATAAAAATAAAAAAACTCACTTCTTTTGCATTACCATTTTGTCAAACTCAAGAGAGAGAGAGAGACTGAGAAGCAAAGAGAAGCCTTTTCTGGTGGGTTTGTTTTTTCTTTTTTTTTTAATTTTTTTTTCAATTTTTAATTTTAAAATTTGACTTATCCAATATAAAAATATAATTTTATATTGTTTAATATTTAAGAGTTATGAAATTTTAGTAACTTTTAAAATAATTTTACATTATATTATAAAAAAGATAAAATAGCAATAGAAAAAATTATTTATTTATAATATAATTTTAAATAAATATTCGACCACATCAATATTATTATAAAATTTAAATCTCGAGAATTATGCCATTTAATTTTTAAAAAATATATATTATTATTATTTAATGGAATCGCATAAAAAAATAAAAAATGTGCATAAAATAAATATAATATCTTTAATGAATTATTGGTTAATGTAAATGGCGTGTGGTAGAAATATAATGGTGGGATTGTGGTTTGAAGAATGAGGTCAGATTTGCTGCGTCAGCAAAGCCAATTAAAATTTAAAGAAAAATAATTAATTAAATAAATAAATAACCTAAATTAATTATTTTTCTCCCATTGTATTGTATTGTTTTGCAGTAGCCACGTGGGTCTATAAAAGGAACCAATAGAATAACGCACAATTCCATCTGGAATCAAAAGCTTATTTATGTCACTTATTGATAGCGATATAATACTATTAAAATAATCAAAATCGAACGTTGAAATATATTTATACGAGAATTTTATTTTTATTTATTTTAACTAATTGAATTATGTATAAATTAACGAGAATTTGAACTTACCATTACGATGAATTAGACTAATTATAAATTTTGAGTTGATCGAGTTTGTGACCCGAGCAACTCGAATATTGTTTACAGTTCAATCCAACACTCTATTTTTTAAATTATTTTAATAATCATACTTATCTAGTTACATTAATAATTAAAATATCATAAAATTCAAATTTCAAAATTTTTAAAAGTATAGTTTGATTGTAACTATATTTTCAGGATTGTCAAGTTGACCCGATAAAAAAAGTCAACTCATTACTTTATTCGAAATTTTTAGTTATTCAATAAATTAAAGTCAACCCAAACAAATAAAATTTAAAAAATAAAAATTCGGGTCAGTTCATAAATTGAAATTGTCTTGGTATGGTCAACCTCACTAACCCAAATATAAGATTACAATCCAACTAAGCTTTTAAGATTATACAAAATTATGAATATTTTAAGATTGTCTATCTTATAAATGTTTGATATTTTAGTTATTAATTTAACATATATTATGAATAAGTCAAAATTTTTAAATATAAAAAAAACTCAACTTAATCGGGTTTGGTTGTGAACACTATTCGGATTTGTCTGCTCGCTAACCCAACTAATCTGAAATTCCGGATTGGTCCACAAAATGAATCGAGACCATATTATAATCAAAGCAATTGTGAAGTTGGTGGTTAAGAAAGACTTAAAGTTACTAATTATTGTAGACGAAAACGACTAAGGCATGACTCTGATACCATGTTAGACGAACACGACTCTCCACAATGGTATGATATTGTCCACTTTGAGCATAAGCTCTCATGGTTTTGCTTTGGGCTTGTCAAAAAGGCTTCAAACCAATTGAGAGAATATTTTTTGTTATAAACCCATGATCATTTCCTAAATTAGCGGATGTGAGACTTTTATCATCTAACAATTATATTAACAATGTGCACATTCATTTTTTGTGGCTCAATCCTAGAAACTCTAGAGTTAAGCTCATTCTGCTTGAGTCAATCCCATATTAGATGACATTATGAGAATTTTCCTATAAAACACATGAATGAGAACAAAACATGCTGAAAAAACTTATATAGACTCCACTCTTAGAAGCAAAAAGTAAGTAACGTGATCATGTCGTAAAGAAATGTTGGGGCTATCAAATGCTAGCAATGAACCTAAATTTCAAATCTTTGGGTACGAGACATTATAAAATTTTAGATATAAATATTTATTTTATTATTAATGAATTTATATCAATTATTTGATGTAAAATTTACACAAATCACAAAGACTTATAACATATTTTTTTTTTCTTTTCTTTTTTGTCTGGTTAATTATTATTTAAAAATAATTAATGAAATTAATCAATTTAAACCCTAATTTAGAAACTAAATTTAATGTAAATTTACTGTGTAGCCCTCTGGCCAGTCATGCACGTGACGCAACTCCACAGGTCACGAGGGAGATTTAATACAGTGCTTTCAATATTACACCTAACCGAAACTAATCATAAGTTATGATTTGATTGGTATTCTATGATCTTTGTTCACTCATGTTTGACTTTTTTACCCTTTAATTTTCCCAATTTTTTTAATTTTTAATTCATACTTGTAAGCCCCATTTTATAAGCCTCTTGTATTTTTTTTTTAATTACATTTATTTACAAGTTCTCCACTATATAATTTAAATCAAACTTTCATAATTAAAAAAAACAATTTAAAGATTTTATTTTTAATTTTTTAAAAATATATATAATTAGAAGTCAACCAAATTTAAAAAAATTAATTTGAAAATGAAATGGGTCGAAGAAATCTTTTGGACCAACCTTAGTGACCCGAACAACTCAAAAAAGTTCACAACCCAATCCAACCCAACCATTCATTTTCGATTTTAGATTAGTTTGGGTTGAATCCTGATCTTATTTTTGAATTGATCGAGTTAAAATGTTAACTTACGAATAGACCCGAACTTTCGATTTTTAAAAATTTAACATAACCCAAAACGAAAAAAAAAAATCTTTAACTCAATTTTAATGACTAAAGCTATCAATTGATTTGTAGGACCGATAATCAATTTAGTTTTATTGTCGATACTTAAAGAAAAGGAAATGTTGAGAACAATTATGGATGGGCCGAAATAATGAGCATTCCAGCCCATACTGACAACGGGTTGGGACGACATGTCGGCGAGATGAAACAGTGGGAGCAGGGTACAGCATCTAATGGGGCCCACCTCATTTGTTAAGAATGTCGGTTATTGGTCGGATAATTTCCAGGTCATTAATGTTTTTTAAATTTTTGAAAAGCGTCAGTGAGGCTGTGAGCGAAAGTTGTCAGTGAATGCATTGGCATTGTGCAGCTTAATTATTGGTCTGTCGTCTTTACTCTTGCTGGCATCCGGTGACTTTTGAATACAGCCGGAGAGAGAGAAAGAAAGAGAGAGATTTTTAATGGGCCTGTGATACATAGGCCCAACCACGTAAGTTTTTATGGGTCTCACGTGATAATGGGCCCAATAGCGATTAAAACGGCCCAAAACGTGTACCAAGGGAAACGCCACGTTGGGTTGAACCATTCCGGTTGATAGGGTTTGGTTTTTAATTTTTTTTTTTTTTTTTAACGCATTCATGTGACTCGGTAACTCGACCAACTAAACCACTAAACTCAAGCTACAAAAATTGGGTTGGGTCACATTTCTTTTCTCCCGTTCTAATAGGATTGAAGTTTTGAAAAACTGTGTATACCTTTAATTTTTTTCTTCGAGTATAAGCTCACGAATAAGACTCATTAAGAGTCTTATTTTAGAAAACTTACGAGTTATAGTAGCTTCCAAATACTGACGGTGACTACAAGAGTAGCTACCACCTATGCTCTTGCAACGTGTTACGTTTGGATGGTTAGGAAGATTACCCACAATCTTAATGGTACTACCCATTCGGGCCCAGTCGAATAGCCAACTTCTTTACAGAGAAAGCTTGTTCGTCTTTATTGGGTAGATAATTTAGTTTTTGTTTGTTGTTTTCAAATTTTATGATTTAAATAAAATAAATTGTATAAACGACATTTTTATGTTTGAACAATTTAAATTATACGATATTCAATAACTATATAAAACATATTCATAAACTAATTAAATATAGTTTATATTGATCCTTATAACTAGAATATATTATTAAATAATTATTTAAATTAAAATAGATTTTTAAATTTCCGATAAGAAAACATTAATTACATTTGTCCACATATTTTTTCTATTAACACACCAATAATGTGGATTTTCTTTTTTTAATATTAAATAATTTTGATACGAGTATATTTTAAAATTTATAGTAATAGAGTTCACAATCGAACAATTAATTATTAATTAATTTATATTTAATAAATTCAGAAATTAAAAAAAAAATTGAATAGGCACCCATCAATTAAATAGACATAAATTTTAAAGTCCAAATAAAAAATATATAATTTAAAATATTTTAATATTATATTAATTAATTTTAATGTTTTGTGTCAATAGATTAAAATTTAAAAAGTAGTCATTAAAATGAAATTAAAAAAATTAGAGGGGTAGGATAAAGAGAGAGAAAAAAACAATTAATTATTATTGAGAATGTCGACATTTTCCGTTAAAGATTCAAATGTGAAGCAAAAATAATTTTTTAATATAAGGTTTTTATATGAGGATGAGGTCATAATGTCCTCATTCGTAAATGTAGACAAACAATTTTAATTACAACAATGTCCTTCTTGTCCTTTACTATTTATTTATTTATTATTATTATTATTTTTTTCTTATAAGCTTCAAATTAGAAATTAAAAAAAATTCACGACAATAAGTTAACGATCATAAAACGTTGTAATTTAATTATAATTGTGTAATTATTATCATTTAATTAACTCTTAAAAGAATATATATGTATATATTATATATATATGACAAAATATTATATCACATGCTTACATTATTTTATTTTAAAATTTATTTTCATTCCATTTATTTAGGTAATCGTGGTTTAATAATTCTTTCAAGCGTTTTTATCTAATATTAGTATATGGTGACCACTTGTCACATATTCAATTACGAGTGTCACGTTTCTATTGTCAACTTTAACTTAGTTTATTCTCGATCCATATCATTGACTATGTAATCATATTCACATGACTATATTACATATAAAAAATTTACCTGTAAACCTTAACGTTTTCAAATTTTCATTTTGAGTTCAACTCGAACA